AACCCTAAACCGCCCTAAACCCTACAGCTAAACCCTAAACCCCAAAAGCTCAACCCTAAACCCTAACTTTCAACTTCCTGGGCTTGCCGGCCTGGGGGTTCTTCGGTTCAAGACGAGGCTCTTCTCGGGATCAGTCTTCGGGGGGCTGTCGGTGGAGGCTTCGCCCCTCATCTGAATAACGTAACTGGGCCTAGAAGAGTAATCTAGGATCTAGGGGCCTAAACTAAGAATTCCCTCTATACTATTTTGGGGGGATTCCCTTATTAATGTTATAAGTATACATATCATCTACCCCCCAAAACCCTATTCTTAAAGTCTTACGGCCCCTATACCAAAAGCCGTAACATCCCCTTCGAGTCCCGATGTGGCCTACACACAGAGAGACCCCCAAGAACCCTGAAGCCCGAGAACCTGGTGCACAATTCTGATACCACTTAATTTTACAAATGCTATAGGCTATAGTTATAGGCCTTTAAGAGTGCACTTTTCTACAACCACTTAATTTTAGAAAATACTATAGGTTACCATAGTTATAGCCCTTTAGAACTACTATAGCCTAAAGCCTACAGCCTTTAAAGGGACCCTTTAAACGAGCCCTAAATCCCCTTGAGCTACAAATCTACACAGATACACAGCCTGGAACACCACCTGACACTCCTGGTCTTCGTCGGAGGCTTTGGCCAGAAGTGCTCCTGTGTCACGGCGTGGATACTATGGCACAAATATAGTATACTATAATACATTATAGCTAGTATGTTATAGTATATTACAATAGTATGTTATTGAGCTTTCGCATTTTGGTCCCACGCCGCTCGATGCAACTTGCTCGGTCGTATTCGCATTTTGAAGTTTTGACTTTTAGCATGTAGGACTTGGAGTCTTGGGTCATTTTCGACTCGCCCGGTGCCGTCGGTCAAATAGCATAGGCCCCGCAAGAAGTCGAGAAGGCGTGTTTGATCATTGCTGCCTGCTTTGCAGCTTACTATAGGAGCCTAAATAATTACCAATACTAATTATGTTGGGTGTGTCCCTATCATAGTTATAGTATAGTATGCCCCAAAACCATATTCAAATTACTAAGGCCCCTACATTACCCAAACCCTAAACCCTAAACCCTAAACCCTAAACCCTAAACCCTAAACCCCTTCCCAGGCGGGCATTCCGGCCTTGTCTCGGATGGCAACCCCTGAAGCCATTGCTTCCTCCACCGGCAGAATGTCCTCAGTTCCATTGGTTGTTGGTAGAAAACGTGTCTACCAAATGAAATAAGCAGATGAAATCATGAAAGGGTCCGGTCCATGATAGAACGACATGTAATGTCCTGTGTCTCGTACCATGTCGCCTCCGCTAAACCTGTAAACCTGGACCCGGAGCACCGAGGCTTGAATGTGAATAAGGTCTTGAACAACCCGAACAGACCCCTCTTGAAAACCGGCCCAGAGGTCCTAGGTACCAGGTAAGCCTTAAGCGCACAACTCAAAGAAGCACAGTTAGACTTAGGTGCTGAAGAGATCTGACAAGCAGCCAGAACCTGAACCTGCAAGGCTTTAAAACATGCTTGTTCTGTACCTTAAGAACCCAAAACCTACTTTTTTGTAGGGTCCTTATAAATCCCATATTAGGGTGTATAATAAGGACCTACAGAAAAGTCGGTTTTGGGTTCTTAAGGTAAGCCTCTCCTGGAATGAGATTCGGCTTCATTGAGGGTGCTTGGAACTCCTTGCTTCTGCAGTTGGTGGCACTGCTTGTCGCTTGATAAGGAGCTGCGCAGGCCAACTCTATATACACCCGATGCTCAAGCCCCATGAGCGATCTTCCCGTACCTTGACATGCAATTTCGACCTCAGCATCACGACGTGCATGATTTGAGCCCATGGCTTCAGACTTTGCAGGAGGTTTGAGGGACGAAAATGAGAACCAGTCACATGCAAGCCAAGCAAGCCGAAGCCCTGCACTTCGAAGCTAATATAGAAGCCTCAATAACTAGAATAGGGCTGTGGGGTATATTATATTATAATTACAATAAGGAACTCCCAAAATATCATACGTATTTATTATAAGGCCCCTATATACTCACCTCAAGGGTCGCATGGACCCCGAGAGATGAAGACGCTGCATCAAGGCGTCGTGCGACGGCCAAATGCCTGTCTTCAGAGCGTCAGCGTATCCCCGCACCAAGTTCCTGAGTTCAGGTTAGCAGGCTGCTTCTTCCTCAACGGGACCGTTCTGCTTATGGGGCTTCTAGATTTAGTAGTTGAGTTGGGGTTTGGTGTGTTTGTTTAGGGGCCTTTATAACAATTGGAACAGGGACCATAGGCAAACGCTTGCAAATCAACATGTCCATGTTATTCAGAAACCTAAAAATAGTCTTGGTATTAATTATTGGGTGCTTCAGGGATTTATTTGGGGGTTCACCTCGGACGGATCCGGCTGGTGGGGTCTGGCCAGTATGGACCGAGCTTCGTGTGGGCGAGAATCGAGTTGGCGGCTCCTGAAGCAGTAGCCAGGGTTTAGGGGCTATAAAGGTTAGGACTTAGGGGGGTTGTTTCTGAATTTTGTTTGCGGGTTCTTTCCTCCTCGCCTACGGTTGGGGTTTCGGGTTTGGGGGGTTTATAGGTCTGAGGGGATTTATGGCATGTCTGGTGTCCGAATGAGGGGGTTCGGGGTTTCCTGAAACTCCCTAACGAGTGGGATCCTTGTTCGTCCGACCACGAAGAATGTAGGAAATTGCCAGTGCTCCTACGTAAAGTAGGTCCACGCGTTGTTGCAAAGCCCCAACACTCAACACCGACCTATAACACTCGACATCCCGATATAGGAACCACAGCCCTATAAACCTTATAAGCCATAAGCACCCTTAGAACCATAAAAAACAATCCCTTGGAGCTTTACTGCAACACAAACCCCAAGGACACTACAGAAACCCCCTCCTGGCCTTCCGCATCATATTTGAAGGATCGCAAACCTGCAGATGGCATCGAGGAAGCCATGCAGAGCTCTGGATTTAAAAAGAGTTTCAGGATGCTGGCATCTACAGGCTTTGGGTGGGGTTCAAAACGGTTCAGGAGGCGCCACCCTATGTCGCGTGGGGCTTTAATTCCTGGAGGTGCGGAACCTGCAGTGAGAAAACAGAAGCCGGCTATGAGAACGCCGTTTTGTGAACTTCTATCCTAATTGCATGCCAAGCATCTGATCTTCAAGCCATCTGGAGAAGGCTCCAACAGAGCGTACCTGGTTCAAAAAGTTCCGGGCATTTCAAGCAAAGGTTGCGGGGTGACGGACTCGGTTGTTTTCCCACCGGTTTCTATGGTAGGCTGCTTGCAAAGTTGGAGGCTGTTGGCGGCAAATTTGGCGGCGCTTGTCTAAGACCATGAGCTCACCCTTGCGGAAATCAAGCCGGACGCCAGCACGGGGCGCACCAAACGCGCCGGGTGCCGTCGTTCGCCGGCATGCCGATGACTCCAGCATTCAGCCAGAGTCGCGTATCTCCCTGCATGTCTCCACTGTAGTTCCTTTTTTGGGTTACCTTCTACCTACTTCCCCAATAAGCCAGGGAAATAAAAGGTTAAACTGTCAGATGACTACTAAAACATAAGAACCCAAAAAGTTCAAAGGTTGGGTATTGGGTATAGGATCTCGAAGATGTTCTTGGTTCAACCCAAAACGGGAAATACGATGGAGACCAGAGGGAGGGCTTTAACTTTATAGGGTTCACATATGTCAGCGCGCCTGTTCAGTGCGAGGCTTTTAAGGCCCTCAGCCAAAGAGATCCAAGGTTTCTTGCAACACAACCCTACCTTAAGAACCCAAAACCCACTTCTTTGTAGGTTCTTATCATAAACGGATTTATGGGGACCCTACAAGAAAGTAGGTTTTGGGTTCTTAAGGTAAATCCTAAACCCCGTTGTTCGAAAGGCTGTTTTCTTCGGAAACCGAGAAGGTTCCCAGTTGGTTAAAACCTCCGCTTACCCAAGTGTATTCCAAGTGGTCCCGTCGGACTTTAAGCGGACCTTTAGACTAAACTGTTGACCCTAAACCCTAAATCCCAAACCCTGAACCCATAAGTAGCCCTTGAAGGTGCTGACAAGCGATTTAGCATAACTGTGAGGTCTACGGACACATTGCGGCCTGCTCGCTGCTGGGTATCAGGCGCGAAAACGGAATGCCACTGTGACCTGCGAGGGTGAGACGATTCAGGGCTTTAGGCAAACCGGAATTACCTTGACATATTTGTTTATAGGGTCCCTACAAAAGTCGATGCTAGCTAGGCTAGGGCTTATAGGAAGACCGGACACACAAAAAAGTCATGGTAGTTTCAGGTTGGGCTTAGGGTTTAGGTGGCATGTACTGGGAGGCAGATAGCTGCTTGCGGGCGCGGTTGTGTCAGAAGTCGGTGGAAGTCATAATTATCCACAAGCTTCCTTCTTGTGTCTACGAGAAGCCCCCCAAGACTGTCACTACCTAAACTCCAAACCGTCCCGGACTGAAACTTGCGCCAAGCAACCACAAAGAATTCCGTCGACGGCCCCGGCTAAGGGGGCCATCATCGTCGCCAGCTCCTGTTCCATCTTAAGCCAAACTAGTAAGCTAGTATAACACAAACGAAACGAGTACTTAAGCTTAGTAAACGAACCTGCGTATGCTTCTATGTTAGGCAGTGTTAGGGTCAAGGGAATTTGTTGCCAGACCGACCACCAACACTTTTCACCAGGGGCTGTTCTGCGGGACACTTCCGGTATCTGCAACGGAAACGAATAGACTGCACAGGGACGTCATGCTCTAGAACTGCCACACATGATGCCAGTACTGCGTAGCTCTACTTTTGGCTTCGCCCGGAGAAGCCGGATGAATTTGGACTCCTTTGAGAAATAGAAGAATCCACCCTTTAGCAGCATCTGACACAGACTCCTTTCCAACACAGGCTGAAGCATGGCAACTGCACCAAGAGTGCCAACAAAAAGCTTCATGTCAACTCAGCCCGTCGTGAGATCCTTATCGCTGCTGGAGGGCCACACGAATTCGCTGATGCCTGGCAAAGCGTGTCAATCAGGGATACGTTCGGGATGTTGGCAAAGGCTTTTCCTTCAGGCCGTGATAAGAGACTTCGCGTGCATGGCTTTCACGACCAACAGTGGAAACATGGAAGATGGAATCCTCCAAGTGCAGCTCAGAATGTTGCAGCAAAGGGCTGGTATGTGCGATGGTCACAGCAACTACCTTAAACTACCCAAACCTAATTTTTGTAGGGTCCCTATAAATTCTGTATTAGGTTTTATAATAAGGACCTACAAAAAAGTAGGTTATGGTAGTTCAAGGTCGAGGCATGACCTTGCAAATAGCATGTCTTAAGGCTACTGCGCTCCAAACCTGGACCTTCTGTCTGGGGGCCTTGGCAATGGAGAGGGCTTCGACGGAGAGTAAGATGTAACTGTACCGGGGGGCTATAAGAGACCCTAAACCCTATAAGCCCTGAACCGTGCACGGCCACTGCCAACCTCCTGGGCTGCCATGCACCACGGCCAAGCGCCGCCCTCGTCAGAGTAGGGTTTAGATTACTAGCCCCAGAGTTTAGGGTTCAGGGGTTCGGGTTTTTTTTGAACACCTTTTTCCAGGGGTTTGGGTTTAGGGTTGGGGGTTCAGGGCTTAGGGGTTTGGGGTTCAGAATATTTTGTTGGCCTATAAGGCTCAGGGCTTCTAGTGTATGGCTTGGAGGAACCCCTGCAATGATCTTCCTTTCTTTGGGGGGTACCTTAAACAGTTTTTTCCTACAGGCACTTTAGCATAAAGCAGCTGAGCCGAAGAAACAACAACAACTTCTATTCCTGTGGGACTGTCCCGAAGGCTACTTGCTTGGCTCACTGCTATTGGGAATGCTTTACGAGTAAGGCTAGAATAAGGAGGAGGCCCAACCACCCCAAAACATCCAGTCGAAATCCTCTGAATTGAAGCTGAACGTTGAAGCTGTGTTCCAAAAAGGACCTTACAAGAATATCGGAGCCCCTCATAATGTGCAGACAAGACTTCTGCTGAGGCATGTTGCTACTTCTTTAGTTTCAAGCTTCGGAAAAGTAGGCATTGCCTTTAGATAGGCGCAGGCGCTAGGAACTTACAAGCAAGATGATGCTGCGAGTGTTTGGCCAACAGGGCGTTCAGAGAACCTTTTTATCTAGCTACCCGGTGCAAAATCAAGTTCAAATCAACCATATATCCAACGGGGTCCACCCGGGAGGTGCACATCGGAGAAACGTATGATCATTCTATGGAACGCGTTCTAAACGGCAAGTGCAAGCAGTAGGCCCATTCGGTGATGCAGTTTTGTAGTGAGAAGGCTGGCCCGAGCAATGGGGATTCAAACTTCCACAATTCAGAAAACTCAACGAACAGCAGCAACTAGCTCTGCAGCCCAAGCATACTCTATTCTCACACTGGCATCCGTTTCCAAAGCGGAGCAATCCTAAACCCTGTCTTGGATGCTGAGTCCCGCCTGCTACTTGCAGCCGCAACTGTCGGGGTAAACTACCCATCCAGTCGGCGAGGTCCTGCAGACACGCTTCCCGGCAATGGATGTCGGCTCGATTTTGCCTTTGATGTTAAACCTTCGTCAGCACGTAGGGCTTGAGCTTGCATGAAGCTGCTCTCGTAATGGTTGTCTAACCCGAACCCGAAAAGCACATGCTCCATAAGTTGCTCGGAGCGACCAAATGACCACAGCTGCTTCTGACCATAGATGCTCAATGTCTTCAGACTTTCTTTGAATCAGATACCCTTCCCCCGACTGCCCCATCAGAGACAAGTCGACCTAAATCCTACGGGAAGGAGCCCGTCAACATGCTAATGCGCCGCGCCGGGTTGCCAACAGAGCTTTCGAGATACTATGTTTAAGCTGCGTTTTGGCATGTCGACGGGCACATTTTTGCATGTTGACGGACCTGGCATGGATGGTTTTGGCATGTCGACGGGCCATTTTTGCATGTTGGCGAACCTGCCATGGACTGGTTTAGCTTCTTCACGGGCCTGCTTAGCATGCTGAGCGGTCGCGGGAATGCTTGTTTAGATAAGCTTTTCTGGCTTTACTCCCCGATCGCTAAGCTTGCGCATTTTTTCCGCCGTACTACTGTACTACTACGGGACTACTACTGTACTAATCCTGTACTACTGTACTACTACTGCACTACTAGCTCACTACTGCTGTACTACTAGCTCACACCTTTGCCAACGTTGACGGGCCCTTTTTGACATGTTGACGGGTCAAGTTACAATTTTTCACTTTCAATTTTCCCCACCCGGGACGGGACGTGGAGGCATTTCCAGTACTAAAGTTGTATTACTGCTGTCCTACTACTGTACTACGGCTGTACTCAAGATGTACTACTGTACTACTACGGTACTACCACTGTACTACTACTGTACTACTGTACTACGGCTGTACTAAAGCTGTACTACTGTACTACT